CAATCAATATAGCTTCTCTCTCACTTACCAACTTTACATTTCCATGATTGTCCCTGGAAGATGACTGGTTAGCCAGAGATGGGTAAGATTCCTCAAGGGAGGTACAACCTAAGACAGGCAAAGTCACAGGGGGGCCATCAGGTGAGAAATTGGGGATCAACAGAGGTGAGGCTTAGAACCTCACCCCCCACTGTTTTGAGAGAAATCTCTGGCATCTATGGATTGCCCTTGTCTATCTTGGATTAACACATAGTCTACAGGCACACGCCTGATCATCTACATTTGCTCTCTTAGAACACTAAACTATGTTGTCTACCTTTATCTTGCATCTATGCACCACCTCAGCATTTTAGTAAAAATTCATAATAATAATAATAATAAAGGTAGAAAGTGGGATCCACGTATTAGTCAAGTATAAAAATCAAATGAATATTCATATTTGACCTGATTGTTTATACTTCATAATGCGTGATCAAAACCGAAATTTTCTGTGATGACTGACCTTGTACTGTACGCCATCTAAGAAGTTATTCACTATGTAAGAATTTCTTCACCATATAAGAACTTGTTTGTTGTGCTTCAGAACATTGGAGACTGACGAGAATTATGCTTACGGTGGACTAATGATTGTGCATTGAGCATTAAGTCCCCTATACAGAATTTTATTGTTAACAAATATTTGATCAATAAATATGAGAGACGACCCCTCAAAAAAATTAATTAAAAAAATAAAATAAATATAGCCCTATCCATCTTGTACACCTTAGTGAACACCTAACAATAACCTTAGCAGAGACCCATGGACCTGACCCTTCACAGTCACTATCGACATCACCCATGCCACACATTAACACTGAACCTCAATCAAGGTCTAGCCCTCACATCACAGCTGAGCTCTAACTCTAATCAAAACCTAATCCTCTCCATAAAAGATACTGAACAACTAACACCAACGCTACCTCTGGCACATGGACCTAACCCGTCACTGTAACTATTGACATCAAACACGCCTCACCATAACCCTGATCTGCAATCTCGTGCTCACCCTCACATCAGAGACACACCATGACTCTATCTGTAATCCTGACCTCCCGGAACACCTGAAGGAACACAATAACCTAACCTTCTCTCTGGCCCCTTGACCTGAATTTTCACCATCAGCAACAATGTCTCCTATGCCTCACCATAATCCTGAAGCTCAATCTGGCCATCATCCTCATATCGAGCCAGTTCCAAACTCTAGCTGTAACCCTGTCATCCCCGTACTCCTTACGGAACAACTAAAGCTAACCCTAGCGCTTGCCAGATGCCCTGATACTCCATCTTCACAATTGATATCACCGATGCCTCACCTTGAACCTGAACCTCAATCTTACAATCTCCCTCACTTCAGAGCCAGATCTGAACTTCAACTGTGATCCTATCTACACTGTACTCCTTACAGAAACCTAACCCTAGCCCTAGCCCAAGCCACTGGGCCTGACACTTCACCTTCATCAGCGTTGTCACCCATGCCTCTTCTTAACACTAAATCTCAACCTCAGACTTGCTCTCATGACAGAGATCGACCCTACGTCTAAAGATAAACCTATGCTCTCTGTATTGCTCATACAGCACCAAACCCTAAACCTAGCCCTCTTCCCAAGAACTGAACCCTCATCATCAGCATCGATGTCACCTTTGCCTGATCATAATCCTGAAGGACAATTGGGCTATTCCTCTCATATAAGGGCTGGATCCGAACTCTAACTCTAACCTGATCTACCCTGTACTCCTTCCCATACAACTAACCCCAACACTAGCCCCAAGACCTGACCTGACACTTCACCTTCACCATTGATATCACCCACAACGCACCTTAACACTGAACTGCAATCTCGCACTCACCCTCACATCACAGCCAGGCCTTGTCTCTGTCCATACACTTCATCTAACACAAAACCCTAACCCTAGCCCTGGAACCTGGACCTGATTCCACACAGTCACCAATCGATGACACCCATACCTCACCATAAACCAGAACCTCAATCTCACACTCCCACTCACGTCACAGCTGAAACCTAAATCTAAATATAGTCCTATTCCATCCAGTACACCTTAGTGAACACCTAACAATAAACTTAGCACAGTCCCGTGGATCTGACCCCTCACTGTCAATTTCGATATCATCCATGCCACACATTAACACTGAACCTCAGTCTAGGTCTTGCCCTCACATCACAGCTGGGCCCTAACTCTAATCATAATCTTATCCTCCCTCTAATACATACTGAACGTCTAACACTAACCCTAGCCCTGGCACCTTGACCTAACCGCTCACACCATCCATTGATATCAAACGTGAATCACCGTAACCCTGGTCCTCAATCTCGTGCTCAACCTCACATCAGAGACCCACCCTAACTCTATCCATAATCCTATACTCCAGGTACACCTTAAGGAACACAATACCATAACCTTCACCCTCGCCTTTGGCCCAGAAACTTCAGCATCAGCAATAATGTCTCCTATGCCTCACCATAATCCTGAAGCGCAATCTGGCCATCGCCCTCACATCAGAGACAGTTCCAAACTCTATCTGTAACCCTATAATCCCAGTAGCCTTACTGAAGAACTAATCCTACCCATAACCCAATCCCCATAACCTGACACTTTAACTTCAACATTGATAAAAACTAACCTTAAACCAGAAATTCTATCTCGTAATCACCCTCACATCAGAGCCTAATCTGAGCTCTATCTGTAACCCCATCATCTGTGTACTCCTCACCAAACAACTAACAGTAGCCCTAGCCCCAAAGGCTTAACTGAAACTTCACCTTCACCATCGACATCAAGCACGCGATACCTTAACACTGTACCTCAATCTCGCACTTTCCCTCACATTACAGCAAAGCCCTAACTCTATCTGGAAACTTATCCTCCCCATACACCTTACAGAACACAAAATACTAACCTTAGCCCTTGCCACTGGAACTGACCCTCCTACGTCACCGTCAACAACACCAAAACCTCACCATAACCCATAGCCTCAATCACATGCTCCCCTGTATATCAGAACCATACCCTAACTCTAAACAAGACCCTATCCTCACCGTACACCATACTGAACACCTAACCATAACCCTAGCAAAGGACCCTGGACATGCAACTCAATGCCACCATCAACGTCACCCAAGCCTCAACTTAATAATGAACCTGAATGTCAGACTCGCTCTCACATCACAGCCAAACCCTAGCTTTAAACATAACCCTATCCTCTCCATAGAGCTTACAGAATACAACACCGTAACCCTAGGCCTGGCCCCTGCACCTGAATCCTCACTGATAGCATCAACATCACCCATGCCTCACGATAATCCTGATCAGTCACGCGATCGCCCTCACATCAGCGGAGGATCCTAACTCTAAACATAACGCAATCCTCCCCATACACTTTAGCAAACACATAAACACAACCAGAGTAGTGGCAGGAGGCTTGACACTCCACCTTCAGCACGGACGTTGTGCTTGCCTCAATGTAGTCCTGAAACTAAATCGCGCCCTCTCCCTCACATTACAGCCAGACCCTAACTCTAATCGTAACCTTATACTCTCCGTACAACATACTGAAGAACTAATGCTAACCCTAGCCATGGCACCTGGACCTGAGCCCTCACCGTAACCATTGACACCACCGATGCTTCACCATAACCCTGAACCTCAAACTCATACACACCCTCACATCAGAGACACACCCTAACTCTATCCATAACCCCATCCTACCCATACACCTTACCGAACAAAATGCCTTATCACTAGCCTTGGTCCTGGCCCATGCTTGTGAACCATCATGGTATCCATAAGTGTCTCCCATGCCTCACCATTACCCTGAAGCTCCATCTGGCCATTGCCCTCACATCAGAGAACCATCTGACCTCTCACTGTAACCCTGTAATCCTCATGATCCTTACTGAACACTTAACAGTAACCCAAGCCCAGTCAACTGAGCTGAAAGTACAACTTCCACATCGACGTCAACCACGCCTCATCTTAACATCGAACATCAATCTCGAACTCACACTCACATCAGAGCCGGACCCTAACTCTATCCAGAACCCTATCCTCCCCGTACACCTTACAGAACACAAAACCCTAACCTTAGCCCTTGCCACTGGACCTGACCCATCCCCATCCCTATTGACATCACCCATGCCACACCATAACCCAGTACAACAAACACACGCTCCACATCACAAGAGTAGGCCCTAACTCTAATAGAAACCCTATCGTCACTGTACACCTACCAAACACCTAACCATAACCCGAGCAGAGGCCCCTGAACCTGAACCCTCACCTTCACCTTTAAAGTCACCCACACCACACCATAAAATGGAACCTCAATCTGGGACGCACCCTCACAGCACAGCCGGACACTAAATCTAATCATAACCTTATCGTCTCCATACAACATACCGAATAACTAACCCTAACCCTAGCCCTGGCATCAGGACCAACCGCTCACCATAACCATTGACATCAGCCATACCACACCATAACACTGATACTCAGTGGTGCGCTCACACTCACATCAGAAACACACCTTAAAGCTACTGCTAACCCTATCCACATCATACACCTTTAGGAACACAAACCCCAACCCTCTCCCTGCCCCTGGACCTGAAAATTTACCCTCAGCAATGACGTCTCCTATGACTCACCGTCATCCTGAAGCTCAATCTGGCCATCATCCGCAAATCAGAGACAGTTCGAACTCTAGCTGTAACCCTGTCATCCCCTTACTCCTTACTGAACAACTAATGCTAACCCTAGCCCTTTCAAGATATCCTGACATTCAACCTTCAGCATTGATATTGCCCGTTCCTCACTCTAAATCTGAACCTCAATCTCGCAATCTGCCTCACTTCAGAGCTGGGTCTAAACTCTAACTGTGATTCTATCCACCCCGTACTCCTCTCAGAAACCTAACCCTAGCCCTAGCCGGGGCCACTGGGCATGACCCTTCACCTTCATCAGCGATGTCACCCATGCCTCTTCTTGCCACTGAACCTCAAACTCAGACTTGCCCTCACGTTTGAGCTCGACCCTAACTCAAAACATAAACCTGTCCTCTCTATACTGCTCACAGAACACCTAACCCTAACTCTAGCCCTCGTATCAGGACCTGAAACATCACCATCAGCATCGATGTCACCAATGCCTCACCATAATCCTGAAGGTCAATTGGGCTATTGCTCTCATATCAGGGCCGGATCTGAACTCTTAACTTTAACCCGATCTTCCGCATACGCCTTCCCATACGCCTAACCCCAAAACTAGCCCCAAGCGCTGACCTGACACTTCACCTTGACCATTGATATCACCCACACCTCACCTTAACACTGAACCGCAATCTCGCACTCATGCTCACATCACAACCAGGCCATATCACTGTCCATAACTGTATCCTTCCCATACACATCACCTAACACAAAATGCTTACCCTAGCCATGGAACCTAGACCTGACTCCACACAGTCAACAATCGATGACATGCACACATCACCATAAACCTTATCCTCAATCTCATGCTCCCACTCACATCACAGCAGAAACCTAAATCTAAATATAGCCCTATCCATCCCATGGACCTTAGTGAACACAACAATAACCTGAGCACAGCCCCATGGACCTGATCCCTCAGTGTCACTATCAACATCACCCTTGCCGCACACTAACACTGAATCTCAATCTAGGTCTTGCCCTCACATCACAGCTGGGGCCTAACTCTAATCTTATCCTTATGTTCTCCGTACAACATACTGAACAACTAACACTAACCCTAGCTCTGGCAGCTGGACTTAACACCTCACCATATCCATTGACACCTAACACGCCTCACCGTAACACTGATCCTCAATCTCATGATCACCCTCACATCAGAGACACACCATAACTCTATCCATAATCCTATCTACCCGGTGTACCATAAGGAACACAACTCCGAATCCTTCTCCCTGGCCCATGGACCTGAAACTTCACCATCAGCAGCAATGTCTCCTATGACTCTCCATCATCCAGAAGTTCAATCTGGCCATTGACTTCATGTCCAAACTCTAACTGTAACCTTATCATCCCTGTACTCCTTTCTGAACAACTAATCCTAAACCTAACCCAAACCCCATGACCTGACACTTCCATGTCAACATTGATAACAAACACACCTCACCTTAAACCTGACACTCAATCTCGTAATCTCCCTCACTTCAGAGCTGAATCTGAGATCTAACTGGAACCCCATCATCCGTGTACTCCTTACCAAACACCTACCAGTAGCCCTAGCCCCAAACACTTAATAGACACTTCACCTTCACCATCGATATCAAACTCACCTCATCTTAACATTGAAACTCAATATCGCACTTTACCTAACATTATAGCCAGACCCTACATCTAATCATAATCTTATCCTCTCCATACAACAGAGCGAACAACTACCCATAACCCTAGCCATGGCACCTCGACCTGACACCTTAAAGTAAAAATTGACATCAACAATGCTACACCATAAACCTGAACCTCGATGTTATGCTCACCCTCACATCATAGACACACCCTAACACTATCCGTAACCCTATCCTACCCATACTCGTTACAGAACACAAAGCCCTATCCCTAGCCCTGGTCCCTGCATGTGAATCATAATGGTAACCATCAATGTATCCCATGCCTCAGCATAACACTGAAGCTCAATCTGGCCACTGCCGTCACATCAAAGCTGCATCTGACTTCTAACTGTAACCCTGTCATCTGCATACTCCTCACTGAACACCTAACAGTAATCGAAGCCCCAACCACTGACCTGAAAGTTGACCTTCACTATCAACATCAACCATGCCTCACAACACTGAACGTCAATCTTGCACTCACCCTCACATCAGAGCCGGACCCTAACTCTATCCAGAACCCTATCCTACCCATACACATTACAGAACACAAAATCTCACCTTAGCCCTTACCACTGGACCTGACCCTTCCCCATCACCATTGACGTCACCCATGCAACACAATAACACAGAAAACAAACACGTGCTCCACAGCACATCAGAAACAGGCCGCAGCTGTAAAGTAAACCCTATCATCACTGTATACCTACCAAACACCTAACCATAACCTGAGCACAGGACCCTGAATCTGACACCTCACCTCAACCTTTAACGTCACCCACACAACACCATAAAACAGAACCTCAATCTAGGACTCACACTCACAGCACAGCTGAACCCTGATTATAATCATAACCTTATCCTCTCTGTACAACATGCCAAACTAACCCTAACCCTAGTCCTGACACCTGGACCTAACCACTCACTGTAACCATTGAGATCACCCATGCCTCACTGTAACACTGATACACAATGTTGCGCTCACCCTCACATCAGAAAGACACCCTAACACTATTCGTAAACCTATCCACCCAATACCCCTTCAGGAACACAAATACTAACCCTCTCCCTGGCTCCTGGACCTGAAACTTCACCATCAACGACAATGTTTACTATGGCTCACCATCCCCCAGAAGCTCAATCTGGCCACTGAACTCATGTCAGAGCCGTATCCGAACTCTAACTGTAACCCTATCATCCCTGTACTCCTTACTGAACAACTAATCCTAACCCTAACCCAAGCCCCATGACCTGACACTTAAACTTCAACATTGATAACACACACCTCACCTTAAACCTGAAACTCAATCTCGTAATCGCCCTCAATTCAGAGCCGAATCTGAGATCCAACTGTACCTCATCATCCGTGTACTCCTTACCAAACACCTAGCCCCAAACACTTAATAGACACTTCACCTTCACCATCGACATCAACCTCACCTCAACTTAACACTGAAGCTCAATCTCACACTTTCCCTCACATTATAGCCAGACCCTATATCTAATCATAACCTTTTCCTCTCTGTACAACATAGCAAACAACTAACCCTAATCCTAGCCATGGCACCACGACCTGACACCTTAAAGTAACCATTAACATCACCAATGCTTCATCATAAACCTGAACCTCAATGTTATGCTCACCCTCACATCAGAGACACACCCTAACACTATCCGTAACCCTATCCTAACCATACTTATTACAGAACACAAAGCCCTATCCCTAGCCCTGGACGCTGCATGTGAACCATCATGGTAACCATCAATGTCTCCCATACCTCACCATAACTCTGAAGCTCAATCTGGCCATTGCCCTCACATCAAAACCGCATCTGACATCTAAGTGTAACCCTGTCGTCCCCATACTCCTCACTGCACACCTAACAGTAACCCAAGCCCCAACCACTGACATGAAACATCACCTTCATTGTCTATATCAACCACGGTTCACCTTAACACTGAACATCAATATCGAACTCACTCTCACATTAGAGCCAGACCCTAACTCTATCCAGAACCCTATCCTCCCCGTACACCTTACAGAACACAAAACGTTAACCTTAGCCAATGACACTGGACCTGACTCTTCCCCATCACCATTTTCAGGCCCGACACCACACCATAACCTAGAACAACAAAAACAGGCTCCACAGCACAGGAGAACCAGCGGCTAGCTATAAATGAAACACTATCATATATGTACACCTACCAAACACCTTAGCATAACCCGAGCACATGCATCTGTACCAGAGCCCTAAGCTTCACCATTGACGTTACCTTCACCACACCATAAAACAGAACCACTAACTGGGACTCACTCTCATATTGCAGCTGGACCGTTACTCTAATCGTAACCTTATCTTCTCTATACAATGCACCAAACTACTAACCCTAACCCTAGCCCTGGCACCTGGACACAACCTCTCACCGTAAGCATTGACATCACCCATGCCTCACCGTATCACTGATACTCAATGTTGTGACCACCCTCACATCGGAAACACACCTTAACACTGTTCGTAACCCTAACCACCCCGTAAACCTTCAGGGACACAAACACTAACCCTCTCACTGGCCCCTGGACCTGAAATTTCACCATCATTAATGACATCTCCTATGCCTCACCATAATCATGAATCTCAATCTATCAATCACCCTCACATCAGAGCCAGATCCAAACTCTAGCTGTAACCCAATCATCACCGTACTCCTCACTGAAACAGTAATGCTAACCCAAGAACTTGCCCCATGTCCTGGCACTCCACCTTCACCAATGATATCACCCATGCGTCACCTTAATCCTGAACCTCAATCTGGCAATCTCCTTCACTTTAGAGCAGGATTTGAACTCTAACTGTAATCCTCTCTACCCCGTACTCCTTATAGAACCCTAAGCTTAACCCCAGCCAGGACCAATGGACCTCACACTTCACCTTCATCAGCAAAGTCACCCATGCCTCTTCTTAACACTGAACCCCAATCTCAGACTTGCCCTCACGTCAGAGCTGGACCTTAACTCTTAACATAAATCTATGCTCTCTGTACTGCTTACAGAACACCAAACCCTAACTCTAGCCCTGGTTCATGGCATTGAACCCTCGGCATCAGGATAGATGTTACCCATGTCCCACCATAATGGTGAAGGTCAATTGGGCTATTGCTCTTATACCAGGGCTGGATACGAACTCTAACTCTAAGCCAATTTTTCCCGTACTCCTTCCCAAAAGCCTAACCATAACACTAGCCCCAAGCACTGACCTGACACTTCACCTTCCCCATTGATATCACCCACACATCACCTTAACACTGTACTTCAATCTCGCACTCACCCTCACATCACAGCCAGGTCCTATCTCTATCCATAACTGTATCCTTCCCATACACTTCACCTAACACAACCCCCTAACCCTAGCCCTGGAACCTGGACCTGACTCCACACAGTCACCAACCGATGACAACAACACCCAACCATTAACAAGAACCTCAATCTCAGGCTCCCAATCACATCACAGCCAAACCTACATCTAAATATAGCCCTGTCCATCCCGTACAACTTAGTGAACACCTTAAAATAACATTAGCA